CAAATCCGTTCCCACCTGACATCTTCACCACATCCCTGAGTCAGTGTCGAGACCGTTCACATCCCGGTCTGCGACATACAACCTCTGTGGTGAAAACTCTAAAGCTTCACTGAGAAACCACAGAGGATACCTAAACTGACAGAGATAGATGCAAATCAAAACAACTATGACGTATCATCTCACCCCAGTAAAAATAGCAAAATTTAGCAGAACAGCAAACAACAAATCCTGGCGAGGTGTGGAGAAACTGGAACCCTTATTCATTGGAGTGTAAAATGGTGCAACCACTGTGGAAGGTGGTATGGTGCTCTCTCAGAAAGTTAGAAATAGAAATACCATTTGACCCAGAAATTCCACTACTGGGAACATACCCTAAAGAAACCAGAACTGCCACCTAAGTAGATAAATGCTCACTCATGTTTATTGCTGTTTTGTTCACAATAGCAAAGAGTTGGAAACAACCCAAGTGCCCATAAAAAAAACGAATGGATAGAGAAGCTGTGGTATATTCAATACTATGCTGCTTTGAAAAACAAAGAACTCATGAAATATTATACAAAATGGGTGACCCTGGAGGATATGCTGAGTGAAATGTCTCAGTCACAAAAGGACAAATACTGCATGGTGCCACTCTTGTAAAGTGGGACTGACATCGGAGTTGGAGGGAATCTAAGAGGGGATAAATAATGTATACTGCATTGAAACAGATCAGGGAGAGAACTGTTTAGGAGGAATGTATAATTCAGTATTATTGTCATGACAAGAATCCAGAATGAAAGCTGTATAGTGGAGTGGACTGGGGTGTGTGGTGGGGAATTGTATAACACTAATTTGTTTGTTTGTTTTTGCTTTTCAAAAAGAAAAGGAAACTAGGGGGAAGGGTGGGCAGGGAGGAAAGTGTGCAACAATGAATGACTGGAAATCGAAGTTTCTGTTAACTTTCATTAAAATAAATTTTTAAAAAACCCAACAAACTTATATGAAAACATAAAGACATAAGAAATATTTTAAAAACACTTAAAGAAGAAAAATTGTGGGAGAGCATGCCTTTCCTGGTATCAAGGCTTATTTTAAGATGCATTATATAAGACAATATGGTAAAGATGAATAGAGAGATTAGTAGGGACAGAATTAGGAATGTAGGAATAGCCAAAAAATATATGAACAATGAGAAAAGCAGCACTAAGAGCGGTGACAAAGTATTAGATTTTTCAATAAATGACGCTGGACCATAAAGATTTAGCCCCTATTCTAGACAATATATAAAACTCCATTCCAGACGGCTTATTTGGTAATGGTATATCTTTGTGACCTCAAACTAGACAGGAATTTCTAGAAAGGGCACTTGTAATTAAGATAAAAATCAATCCCAGTTGGATTACAAGTTGAAATGTGACAGGTAAAATAAACAAGTTCCTATCAGATAAGCATAGGAGAACATCTGTCATAACCTAGGAGTGTGGAAACAAATTTTAAATGAGAAAGTAAAAGCACTAAACTAAAAAGAAAATATTTGTGTATTACACAGTACACATATAACTAACTAGCACAGGATCAAATCTAGCCCCATAGCCTAAATTTAACTCTCCACCCATTCCGTAAATTAAGTTATAAACACACAGTCACATTCATGTACATATTGTCTAGTGCTGCAAGGGCAGAGTTAAGTAGTGAAGTAGTTGCTAGAGAGATCTATGAACTGCAAGCTCTGTCTGATGTGAGCCTTCACGGAAAAAAGTTGCCAACCCCTAAAAGAAGGGTTTGAAAGTACAGAGTTCAAGATTTTTTTAAAAGGCTGTAGCCTAACTGGCAAAGAGACTGGTTTAAGGACAGGATTTTTAAAAAGTAGTGTGCCTTTGGGCTTAAGGCCGCCTCCTGGTTCAAACCCTAGGCCCAGGCTGGCTAGCCTCACTCCAGGGACAGAGCAAACCTGCACGTCAAACACATTCCCAGAAAAGCAGTCCACTCCAAAAGTTTGCCACGATTTCCTGCACTCCCACCACCACCAGGTTCAAATTGTCTTCCTGTCAAACATTCTTCTAGGTGGTATAGCACTGGTCTGTGCGTTGCTGTACAGAGGTAACTCGTGGTTGTTGTGATGCTGAAGCCTGTGACAGTGATGTGCCAATCATGGTAATGGGCACCCATGGTGGACAGTGTTGGCTGGAGCTTCCCGACTAAATCAAGCCTGGAAGCAGGAGCGGCAACCACTTCCAAAATGGCTTGCCTCTGGAAACCCTATGTACGAACAGTGCTCAGACTGTTCGTTCATAGGGTCGCTATGAGTCGTCTACGACTCGACGACATTAAACAACAAAACAACAGTGTGGCGATGCTAGAGTTCTAGTGGTGTAGTGGTGTGTTTAACTGCAAAGCTATATAAGTGGCTGCTTGGCCCCTTGGAGGGACAGGCGGTCTCCTCCCACTACGATTTACAACCTCAGAAGCCCAATGAGGATTGCTCTGAGTGGGAATCAAGACCACTGTGGTGAGCTGTTTCGAATACTGCAATAGAATAACAATGAAAAAAGAAAATTAGACATGCTCCACAGAATATGAGTGAGGAGAAACTCTAAACCATTGAGATTTGTGAACCTGAAGAAAAAAAATGTGTGAACGAAGAAAAGTTTTTAGTATTCTGACTCAAACCCAGAAGTAATAACTTTATCAGAATAACTTGGAATGGCAAAGAACACTATAAGTAAATGAAAAAGAAAATAAAAAATTTTTAAATATTGCAACTTATCTTACAAAAAGAGAACTGATATGTATAGTTTATCAACAACTTCAAATAGCTAAGAAAAAAATAGCTCTATAAAGAATGGACAAGAAATACGAATGTTGTGTTCATAGAAAAAGAAGCATAAATGACTCTTAAACATATGAAAATGCTCAAGCCCATTCATATTTGTTATTGTTGTTATGTGCCCTCAAGTCACCTGTGTGTGACTCACAGCAATCAGGAAATCAAAAGACGAATTGCGTTGGGAAAATTTGCTGTCAGGGACCACTCCAGCATACTGAAAAGCAACAATGTCAGTCTGGAGACTAAGGTGCACCTAATCCAGGCCATGGTCTTTGCAATTACTTGTTATGTATCAGAGAGCTGGACAATGATTAAGGATGACAGAACAAGAATTGATGCCTTCTAACTGTGGTGCTAGAGAAGTCTTGAACATACTTATGGACCACCAAGAAAACAAATATGTCTGTCTTGGAGGGGGTGAAAACAAGTTTCTCCATGGAGGCAAGGATTTTGAAGCTCCATCTCACATACTTTCAGGCACATGGCCACGAGAGACCAGTCTGTGGAGAAGGACATCATGTTCAGAAGGGTGGAGGGACAGCACAGGAAAGGAAGACCCGTGACGGGATGGATTGATTCTGGGGTAATGGGGGTTGTTGTGTTGGAATTAGTGAGACTGGCTCAGGACAGGGAAGGGTTCAGAGCTGCTGTACATAGGGTCACTATGGGTCGCAGGTGACTCAATGGCACAACAATGTGTGCAGAGTGAACTACTTCAGAGTTTTCAGAATTGTAGATCACCTTTCAGAAGCAGATAACCAGGTCAGGCTTCTGATATACTTCTCGGTAGGTTCAATCCTCCAACCTTTCAGCTGATTATGGTTTCTCCACAATGCATAGCTATCAGAACACCTACCCTACAATATTTTAAATTGCAATTGCCAGCACTGACACAGACCAAAAGGAATTCTCACTGCTGGTGAGAATGCAGAATGGCACAGCCACTCTGGAACGACACTTTGGCAGTTTCTAAAAAAATCAGTCTTATTATATGACATGAGGAGTGAGTTCAAAGAACCAGTCTTTCACTTTGCTGAGTTCTTAACCACTGTGCCATCAAGGCTCCTCACCCATTGTACAGATGAGAAAATAAGTACAGGAAGGCTTAGTAACTACTCCAAAGTTCTACGGTGAGTAGAAGATGCTTCAGAGTTCAGATTCAAGGCAGTTAAGGCCAGTGCTTCTTTCCATTATTAAAAGATAGACATCCAAAAAATGTGATTGTTAACCTGCTCCTTAAAAAGCCGAGACTACTTCTGTGGCCACTTTCGGCAGTTGTGCAGAAGGTTTGTTAAACAGGTCTCTAACTTGTGTGCACTGCTGCTGTCTACTGCATAGCAGAAACATCCTCATCTGTGCTTCCTTAGCAAGTTGAGATGTCAACTGAGAGATTATTTGATGTTGTTCAAAAGGCCATTTATGGATTAGGACTTGAGCCTATAAAATCTTGGGAAAGTCTCTGGTCGTTTCTTCACGCTGAGGAAACCATCAGCCTTCTCACATTTAGGATGTTGGCTTCAAGTCTGTGGCTCTAGAGTCTTTGCCTGTTGAGAGTCTTGTCTCTTGTCACCATCATTACAACCACAACAAAACCCATAAAGCATAAGTGAACTTTTTGAGTCAAGATTTTTGCAAACAGATCTTTCTCCAGAGAAGGTGTTCAGCACATTAGCAGCAAAGTGCATTAGTAATTTTGCACTCTCATGTTTTATTTTGTAAATATTATCTGATTTTTGGAGCTTGAGCACACAGAATGTAAATATAGTTCTTCTATTTGTACTAATTCTGGTTCTTTGCTATACAGCCTTAGGTGTGCAATGCAGACAATATCTAACTTTGTATGGTAACATTGCATCACAGAACTATTAGTGAGCGAGGTAAAAACAGTAAAGGTACAATGAGAGCAAAGGTAAAAAAAGATAAATACTTACATGTGGGCTAGTAAACATTTTAAAGTTGAGTATTTGGTATTAGTACAATCAAGGCTTTTTCAGTTCTGTCTCTCACAAAACTCCCACCTTAAACCTTGTTTAGCCAGCTGCCTTACAAAATGTCATCAGCATCAGCTGGCTGTTCATATTACACTGCTTCAATAATAACTATTTCTTCATCAACACCTCTTACATATAGAGATAGGGATACAGATAAAGATAAAGATATAAATATCTTTAATTAGTCATCACATTCAAAATACCTTGGAAACTTCGTCCATCCTTTGCATGCTTGGGTATTAGGTAATAAGGTTGTCGTCTTAGCTTGGTCCTAACTTTCGCTCCAAGCCAGTTATTGATGGCCAGGCCTTCCTGGGTGCTCACAGGCCAGCTGCTCTTTGATTCCAAAGCCAGGATTATGTCCACAGATATTTCTTTAGGTTTTCTAATAAGAAGTGTTACAGCAGGGCTCCCTCTCTTCTTCCTCTCCACAACTATATCTGTATCTGTTGAAATGTATAAAACGGAAAAGGGGTTAAATGGATACATTTTTTTTAAATCTAGAGAAAAACAACATAACAGGAAGTCAACATATTATTAAATGTAAGGTGACAGTAAGTTCTAAAATAGAAATTGACTGTATTGATATTTACCATGGAGTTGTTGTTGTTGTTAGATACCATTGAATTTACTACGACCATGGAGAGGCATTAAAATTTCTCTTTGTATACCTTTTCAATCTATATGCAGAACAGATCATGCAGCAGGCTGCGCTCTATGAGGAGAAATGGGGCATCAGGATTGGAGGAAGACTTATCAACAATCTGTTGTGCAGATGACACAACCCTGCTTGCTGAAACTGAGGAGGACCTGAAGTACTTGCTACAGAAGGTCAAGGACTGCAGCCTTCAATATAGATTGAAGCTGAATATCAAGAAAACAAAGATTCTCACCACTGGGCCAATTGGCAGCATCATGATAGATGGTGAAGAGATTGAGATTGTTAACAGTTTCCGTTTGCTTAGCTCCACAATCAAAACTCTTGGTACCAGCAGCCAGGAAATCAAAAGATGAACTGCATTGGGAAAGTCTGCTGTCACGGATATCTCCAGAGTACTGAAGAGCAACAATGTTAGTCTGGAGACTAAGGTGTTCCTGATTCAGGCCACAACTACTTGCTATGCACCAGAAATCTGGATGATAAAAGGAGAATTGATGCCTTTGAGCTGTGGCGCAGGAGAAGAGTATTGAATATTCCGTGAACTGCTAAGAGAACAAACAGGTTTGTCCTACAGGGGATGAAACCAAGCTGTTTCTTTAAAAAAAATTAATTTATTTTAATGAAAGTTTACAGAGACTTTGGATTTCCCTTCATACATTTTGCACTTTCTCCCTGCCCACCCCTTCCCCCAGTTCCCGCTTCCCATTGAAAACAACAAAAAAATTCCTTCATTGTTATACAATCCCTCCAATGAAGTCCACTCCACTATGCAGCCTTCATTCTGGACTCCTGTCATGACAATATACCTAATCATATATCCCTTTTAAACAGTTCTCTCCCTCATCTGTTTTAATGCAGTATGCATTATTTATCCCATCTTTTTTAGTCTCCCCACAACCCTGATGTCAGTGCCGTTTTACAACAATGGCACTATGCAGTATTTGTCCTTTTGTGACTGAGATAATTCACTCAGCATAATGTCCTCCAGGGTCACCCATTTTGTATACTATTTCATGAGTTCCTTGTTTTTCAATGCAGCATAGTATTCCATTGTGTGAATATACCAGAGCTTCTTTATCCATTCGTTTGTTGATGGGCTCTTTGGGTTGTTTCCAAATCTTTGCTATTGTGAACAAAGCTGTGTTAAACATGGGTGTGCATATATCTGCTTGGGTGGCGGTTATGGTTTCTTTGGCGTATATTCCCAGTAGTGTAATTTCTGGATCAAATGGTCTTTCTATCTGCAACTTTTTGAGAAAGTGCCATACTGCCTTCTATAGTTGTAACATTTTACACTCCCACCAATAGTGAATAAGGATTCCAGTTTCTCCACAACTTCGCCAGCATTTGATGTTTGCTGCTCTGTTAAATTTTGCTATTCGTATTGGGGTGAGATGATATCTCATAGTTGTTTTTATTTACATCTCTCTTAGAGCTAGGGATTTTGACTATTTCTTCATGTGTTTGTTTGACATCTGAATGTCTTCTTTGGTAAAGTGTCTGTTCATATCCTGTGCCCATTTTGCATTTGGGTTGTTTACATTTATCTTGTTGTGGTGTCAGACTCATTCTTGTATGGTTACCATGAGGGGAAAAAGAGAAAGGAGATAGAAAATTAATGTTGTTGTAGTGGTGGTAGGTGGTGTATTCCTCATAGTGACCCTATGAACAACAGATCTGAACTTTTTCCTGTCTTATGCCATCTTCGTCACCTCTGATACACTTGAGCACACTGGCACAATCTCTATGGCAATCTGTCTCATCGAGGATCTTTTTCTCTTTCACTGATCCTCCGCCTTTCAAATTATACTGATAGTATGTCAGATGAAGCTTTGCCATTTTTGCCTACAAGGATCATTCTGGTTGTACCCTCTCCAAGGCATATCTGTTTATTATTTTGGCAGTTAATGGGTTATTCAGTACTCTTCTCCAACACCAGCACTCAAAGGCATCAATTCTTCTTCTGTTATCCTTATTCATTGTCCAGCTTCAGACGCTTAGCAAGTGACTAAAAAACCATGTCCTGAATCAGGCACACCTTAGTCTTCAAACTGAAGTAATTGTTCTTCAGTAATTGGGAAAGGTCCCTGATAGCAGTCTTCCCCAATGCATGTCTTCTGATTTCCTGGTACAAAGTGTGTTGATTGTGGATCCAAGTAAGAGGAAATCTTACTGGCAACTTCAATCTTTTCTCCATCTATCATGATGTGGACTATCAATCTAATAATGATTATTTTTATTTTCTTAATGTTGAAATGCAATCTATACTGAAGCTGTAGTCTTTAATCTTCTGCAGTAAGCATTTCAAGTTCTCTTTTTCAGCAAGCAAGGTTGTGTCATTTGCATAATCCAGGTTGTTGATTGATTAGTCTTCCTCCAATCCTGATCCCACATTCTTCTTCATAGAATCCAGTTTCTCAAGTGATTTTTTTCATCATACAAATTTAATAGGCATGGGAAAGGATACAATCCTGATGCACACCTTTCCTAATTTTTAATCATGCTGTGTTCTGTTGCTTCATTCAGACAACAGCTTCTTGGTCTAGGTATAAGTTTCATATGAGCTTGATTAAGTGTTCTGAGATTCCCATTCTTCTCAATATTAGCCATAACTTGTTATGATCCACTTGGTTAAATGTCTTTGCATAGTCAATAAAGCACATATTGACATTCTTCTGGTATTCTCTGCTCTCAGTACACTATCTAAGATCAGGAATGATATCCCTGGTCCCAAAACCTCTTTAATTCCACCTTGAATTTTTGTCAGTTCTTTGTTTATGTACTGTTCTAGTCACTTTTTTTATGATCACATGATTTGGCTTGTATGTGATATTAATGATATCATTAGATAATTTCTACATTCTGTTGGATTGCCTTTCTTGTGAACGAGAGCTAATTGATATCTCTTCAGTCAGTTGCCCAGGCAGCTGTCCTCCAAATTTCCTGGCATAAACTGTTGAGCATGGCTGCCTCTGTTACCTGAAACATGTCAATTATTAGTCCATCAATTCCTGGATCCTGGATCTTCTTTTTTCCCCCACCTTCATGGCAGCTTGAACTTTTTTTGTTACCATTGGCAGACACTTAATAAGATAGGTGAAGGGGAAGGCAGTACAGAATAAATGGCTATTCAAACACTGTTGGTATTGTAATTAGTGTTACCAAACTAAACGCATAATGATTAAAAAACAATATTCTTTGTAAGCTTTCAAATACATTTTTTTCTTTTTTAATTATGTGTGTGTGTGTACCATCAAATCGGATCTGACTGCTACAGGAGGAGATTGCCCCTGCTTCTCCAGCAGAGCATCTGGTGGATTCGTACCTCTGGGTTTGCAGTGCAACTTCTGGCCACTCGGCCACCAGAGCTCCCTTCAAATACACTTTTTTAAAGGAAAGGAAAACGCAGTGTAGGAGACTGAATATATGAACACAATGTAAATGAAGGAATGTGTGAAATACGGTGCATATAAACAAAACACAGTGTATATGAATTTCTAAGCAAGCCAGTCAGTCTGGAGACTAAGATGGACCTGATCCAGGCCATAGTCTTCACAATCACGTGCTATGCGTCAGAAAGCTAGACAATGATTAGGGATGATAAAGAACTGATGCCTTGGAACTGTGGTGTTGGAGAAAACTGTTGAATAGACTGCCAGTAGAACAAACAGTTCGTCCTAGAGAGGGCGAAACCAGGTTGCTCCTTGAAGGCAAAGATTCTGAGTCTTTGACATACTTTGAGCATGCTACAAGGCAAGACCAGTCCTTGGAAAGGAACATCATGCTTGCAAGGGTGGAGGGACAGAGAAAGAGAGGGAGACTATCGATGAGATGGATTGATTCAGTGACTGGGGTAATGAGAGTGGATGGGTCAAGAGACAGTAAAGTTGGCACAGGATAGAGCAGGTTTTAGGGCTGTTGTACATAGGGTTGCTATGAGTTGCAAGTGACTCGACGCACATAGCAACAAAGCAAAGCAGTATAAAATGTTGTTGTTGTTGTTATTTGCCGTCGAGTCGTTTGCGACTCATAGCGACCCTATGTACAACAGCCCTAAACCCTGCTCTATTCTGTGCCAATCTCATTGCCTCTGACACACCCATCCCAATTACCCCAGTCGCTGAATCAATCCACCTCATAGAGGGTCTTCCCCTCCTGCGCTGT